AAATAAAAATAAAAGTGTGCTAAATTACTACTATATTAAATGCGTTTCTTTTCTAAGATTTTCACAGATTTATCTACTCAAGAATCCGGTTTAAATACATCATATTAAGGGGTAATAATTTTTTAATATTTGAAAACTGCAAATCAGCGATGATGCAATTAAAAAACCATCTCTGCCAACCTTTTTTCTTGCGTAACATTGACGTGAATTACGTAGATCTAAGGGTCGTCCATAAATGACGTCACACTCGTAGGGGGAGGGGGGGGGGTCCGTTATTTTTGTGACGGTGTGTGATGGGGAGGAGGGGGGGGGTTCAGATGGTGCGACGTCACACTTTTGCATTATAAAAAAGCAATGTTAGAAAACGAATTTTAGACGTTATTTCGCGTTTTAGAAAACTGTTTTGATAAATTGTAATGGGAATTGATTAAAATACTCTATTTTGACAGAGCTCACACATGATTTTGGAAAAATATCGATGTTTAAAAAAAAATTGAGCTGCAATTTTGAGGGGGGGGGGGGTTGTAGGCTGAGGTGTGACGTCATTTTAGGGGGGGGGTCTGGCTTTTTGTGACGATGCGTGACGGAGGGGAGGGGGGAGGTAAAAATCGTCAAAAAAGCGTGACGTCATTTATGGATGACCCCTTAGTTGTTGTTGCCACGCCCACACATTTTTAAAAGGCCGTATCCTAGCTCCTAATGAAGCTAGAGACAAAATTGGTATCACTGTGATGGGAAAAAAATCCTGTTTTTTTTTCGGTGGTATAATTTTATTTAAAACTAGTGGAGTTTAAAAACTACTGTGCAACAACCTAGGGTCGTCCATTTATGACGTTCGCACGTCATAATGGTCTTGTCACACACACACACACAAAGACAATCGGGAAACTTTTCTTGCGATCGCAGACAAGGTTTAAATAATTGAGGGCGCAGCCCAACGGGACCTGCATTGTTTAGCGTTGATGCTGCGCGCCTATGAGACGGCGCATTGGTGCGCAAAACGCGACTTTGTTGGACCAGCTTGTGAGGCCATAGCTAGACGTGCCAGCGACGAAAACGTTCAAGTGGCCAGTTTGGCTTTAGTCGGCCATGGCGCAAGTAAGTTACATTAAAAAAATAGCATTCACTTTAAGTGAAAAATGTATTCATTATTTTTAGAGTGAATACATAAACGTATTAGATCAATATATATGATTGATCTTAGTTTAATTACAAGAAAGATAGTTTGATTGTTCTATTATTTTTCTAAAGAATTGTTAATTGAATCCTGACCTTAAAAATGAATAAATTGGTTTTAAACAATTATTATCTTATAACTGGATAACAGTGCTAGATACCAACAACAATGGATTTTTACCCCAGGCATTTCACTCCGGAATTGGGGCATATATAACTTCCAATGGAGGGGTGTGTGTGTGTGTGGGGGGGGGGGGGTTGTATATGTTTTCTATTTATATTTACTACTGTTTTTCATTAAGTACCGGGGGAGAGGGACGTAGACGTGCTAAGGAGTGGGGGAGAAACGCTGAAAAGTCTATAGTCGGGACTGATTTTTTTTCTATATGAATAAATCTTATTAGTACTTGTGTTCAGCGAGTTTTTTGTGCATATACATATATCTTATTAGTATTTGAGTTGAGCTAGTTTTTGTGTGCATGTATATCAATAGATGTTATTAGTATTTGGGATGAGCGAAGTTGTAAACTGGGCGAAAATGATTTTTAGTTAATTAAGTTGTGATGTGATCTTGCTGAGTTATTTTTTCTGAAAATGGTTAGACCTCACCGAGGCACCAACTGGAGCAAATGGATAGCCCGAAGAAAATAAAACCAGCATTTGAAAATGAAAACGCCCAAGACGCCGCTGAGTCTAAGAGCATCAAACAGATCATGCAACGGTTTGCTGAGCGGACCTCTCTGAATGGTGTGCCCTTCATCAACACCTCCCAAAGAAGGATCGGCAAATACATCTGGACGTTTTTAGTCTTCGTGGCAGTTGGCGCCATGTTTTTTCACCTGTTCACGTAAGTCAAAGTCAGACAGCATGGTCGGGTGGTAGAGCACACGATAGTCTCGAGTTCGAATCCCGGGTTCAAGTCAGTAGAACATCCATGAGTTTACCCAGCTGTCATGGGTACCTGACTCACGTTAGGGAAAGTAAAGACGTCTGGGCATAGTGCTGACCACACTAACTCTTCATACGCCGAGGTCAGTGAAACAGGTGAACTCTACTAAACCGTCAGGTTCGAAAGGTTATTTTAGTTTTCACGTACGTCAAAGTTGGATTGAGGAATAGATACTTTTTCAGAGCCTTTGGTTTAGTTCGGACAGATAATTGGTAGTTATGGTTAAGTATATCAAGTCAATGATTTCTGCTATCAAAGTAATTTGTGTAAACCAAAGAAATGTTAGCATAATATTCAATTAACGTTCTCGTTTACCATTATCGCATGCACATGAGACATTCGTCTAAAATAAATAATGTAATAATGATTATAAAAACTGCCTGATTTTGGCGATCGAGTTAATAGACTTTTGACACAGTTCTATTGTCTACTTTATTCCACCAGTCTATTCTCTAACTACTCTATTCAACCAGTCTATTCTCTACTTTATTCCACCAGTCTATTCTCAACTACTTTATTCCACCAGATTATTCTCTACTTTATTCCACCAGTCTATTCTCTAACTACTCTATTCCACCAGTCTATTCTCTACTTTACTCCACAAGTCTATTCTCTAACTACTTTATTTCACCAGATTATTTTCTAACTACTTATTTCACCAGATTATTCTCTAACTACTTTATTCCACCAGTCTATTCTCTAACTACTTATTTCACCAGATTATTCTCTAACTACTTATTTCACCAGATTATTCTCTAACTACTTATTTCACCAGATTATTTTCTAACTACTTTATTCCACCAGTCTATTCTCTAACTACTTATTTCACCAGATTATTCTCTAACTACTTATTTCACCAGATTATTTTCTAACTACTTTATTCCACCAGTCTATTCTCTACTTTACTCCACAAGTCTATTCTCTAACTACTTTATTTCACCAGATTATTTTCTAACTACTTATTTCACCAGATTATTCTCTAACTACTTTATTCCACCAGTCTATTCTGTAACTACTTATTTCACCAGATTATTCTCTAACTACTTATTTCACCAGATTATTTTCTAACTACTTTATTCCACCAGTCTATTCTCTACTTTACTCCACAAGTCTATTCTCTAACTACTTTATTTCACCAGATTATTTTCTAACTACTTATTTCACCAGATTATTTTCTAACTACTTTATTCCACCAGTCTATTCTCTAACTACTTATTTCACCAGATTATTCTCTAACTACTTATTTCACCAGATTATTTTCTAACTACTTATTTCACCAGATTATTCTCTAACTACTTTATTCCACCAGATTATTTTCTAACTACTTTATTCCACCAGTCTATTCTCTAACTACTTATTTCACCAGATTATTTTCTAACTACTTTATTCCACCAGTCTATTCTCTAACTACTTTATTCCACCAGTCTATTCTCTAACTACTTATTTCACCAGATTATTCTCTAACTACTTTATTCCACCAGTCTATTCTCTAACTACTTATTTCACCAGATTATTCTCTAACTACTTATTTCACCAGATTATTTTCTAACTACTTATTTCACCAGTCTATTCTCTAACTACTTATTTCACCAGATTATTCTCTAACTACTTATTTCACCAGATTATTCTCTAACTACTTATTTCACCAGATTATTTTCTAACTACTTATTTCACCAGTCTATTCTCTAACTACTTATTTCACCAGATTATTCTCTAACTACTTATTTCACCAGATTATTCTCTAACTACTTATTTCACCAGATTATTTTCTAACTACTTATTCCACCAGTCTATTCTCTAACTACTTTATTCCACCAGTCTATTCTCTAACTACTTATTTCACCAGATTATTCTCTAACTACTTATTTCACCAGATTATTCTCTAACTACTTATTCCACCAGTCTATTCTCTAACTACTTTATTCCACCAGTCTATTCTCTAACTACTTATTTCACCAGTCTATTCTCTAACTACTTATTTCACCAGATTATTCTCTAACTACTTATTTCACCAGTCTATTCTGTAACTACTTATTTCACCAGATTATTCTCTAACTACTTATTTCACCAGATTATTTTCTAACTACTTATTTCACCAGTCTATTCTCTAACTACTTATTTCACCAGTCTATTCTCTAACTACTTATTTCACCAGATTATTCTCTAACTACTTATTTCACCAGATTATTTTCTAACTACTTATTTCACCAGTCTATTCTCTAACTACTTATTTCACCAGATTATTCTCTAACTACTTATTTCACCAGATTATTTTCTAACTTCTTCGAGTACAAAAAATATTCCAAGGTCAGCTTCAGCTACAGCAAGCTTCGATTTCCTGCCGTCACTATCTGCAACGTCAACATGGTCAGAAAGTCTAAGGTAAGTGACGTCATGGTCAGGAAATCTAAGGTAAGTGACGTCATGGTCAGGAAATCTAAGGTAAGTGACGTCATGGTCAGGAAGTCTAAGGTAAGTGACGTCATGGTCAGGAAATCTAAGGTAAGTGACGTCATGGTCAGGAAGTCTAAGGTAAGTGACGTCATGGTCAGGAAGTCTAAGGTAAGTGACGTCATTGTCAGGAAGTCTAAGGTATGTGACGTCATGGTCAGGAAGTCTAAGGTAAGTGACGTCATGGTTAGGAAGTTTAAGGTTAGAAAACTACCTTAAAGTATGAATCCATCTTTTGTACAGAAGACATTAAAAGGTAACTTTTTCTTATTCAGCTCCACTTGGCCAGCCCGGCCATGTTCTCTATCTACATGGCCACCGACCCCAGCGTACGGCTACATGCGGCCACCGGGGGCAACAGCCGGAAGAAGAGGGACACGGCGGGCCTGGGCGGGGACTTCAACGGCGTCTTGGACGGGATGGGCGAGGTGGACACACGAAGGACCACAGTAAGCAACATCACTGATAGGGATCTTGGAGGCTTCAACATTCGACAGAAGAGAGACGCTGATGTAGAAGATAATTCTACAAACAGGTAGGCTGTTTCTACCTTAAGTTTGGCACCCTGTCCGTACTGTTTCTTAGACAGTCACGTCCGCTTCCCTAAACCACCATATACCAATATTATCCAGCGATAGTTAAAGACCATCTAGTCATAACATTAGAAGAATTTTACCTACATATATTTAACTTATATTCCATCTATCCTTCTGGAGCTTCGTGTCCGAGAGGTAGAACATACGTTTGCAGATCTCACAGCTGGTAGTTCGAATCCGTCTTAAGTCTTTTCGTTGATAGGTGCATGCATTATATCACCGAGTTCGATGAACACAATTCTCCTTACACTTCGACTTGTTAACATTTTCAGAGGACTTTAAAAGAACATAAGCTTGACTTTTTATACCCATTCTACAAGTACTGTAAACAAAAATACTGACATCCTAACGATTTATCTTCCCCCCAGTGATGATGATCCTCTAGATGACTATGGGAATATTAACATCACCAGCAACGAAATCGACGTGGTAAGGCTTTATTTTTATTTAAATATTTTTGAATGACACCTAAACTATTAATGCACTTCATAAAGGTCAGTTTGGTCGAGTCGGTTATGATCATGGTTGCCGAACCGAAAAGTATCGAGTTCGAACTCCGGACAGATGAGGCACGATAGCTTGGGAATCTCCTAACAACTGCTACGTTATAGTTTGTTCTCGGTTAGACAAAGGCTATATCCAGTAAGCAAAGCAGGTTGAAATAGGAGTCAACTTCCTTTATGGCATAACAAGTCGACACGTATTACTCAATTGTGTTGGAGGGAATGTCTTCCAACACTAGAAAGTAAGAACGCAGAAGAAGAAGAAGTGGTTCATCAGTTTGAGCAGTGTGTTGGACAGCAATGTGTAACAAACGAATGCACGGTTTGATGAGCCATTTTTTTCTGCTTGGTTATTATTTGCTGGTTTAGATTATAAGATTTTACTGTGTGTGATTTATCCTTAAAAACGTATTGTAGATTATTTTATTTGGAGATAGTGTTGATATTTATTTGATGAACTTGTTAATTTATTTCGAGATTATTGTCATGAACTTGAGAATATTTCATTTTGAGATTGTTGATGTAAAATGGATAAACTTGACAATCTGATGTTGATGTAATGTGGATAAACTTGACAATCTGATGTTGATGTCTCTTTGATAAACTTGATGGTCTCATGCTGATAAACGTGATGATCTGATGTTGATGTAATGTTGATAAACATGATGACCTGATGTTGATGTAATGTTGATAAACGTGATGATCTGATGTTGATGTAATGTTGATAAACGTGATGATCTGATGTTGATGTAATGTTGATAAACGTGATGATCTGATGTTGATGTAATGTTGATAAACGTGATGATCCCAGGGTTGTACAGATTGCTTGGAGAACACGGCCAAGACGTCAACTTCCTACCTGTTGGATCAGATGTTTAAAAAGGAGTTTGGTAAACTTAACCAGTAAGTTTGGTCATCTTGAACCGTTTAATTTATCTTGGGGGTGAAGTTGAATGATTTCCTTTCTCTGGGAGGGGGGGGGGGGGGGGGATTGAATTATCTCCCTTATGTAGTGGTGAACTTGAATCATCTCCCTTAACTAGTGGTGAACTTGAATGATCTCCCTTAACTAGTGGTGAACTTGAATGATCTCCCTTAACTAGTGGTGAACTTGAATGATCTCCCTTAACTAGTGGTGAACTTGAATGATCTCCCTTAACTAGTGGTGAACTTGAATGATCTCCCTTAACTAGTGGTGAACTTGAATGATCTCCCTTATCTTATGGTCAAATTTCTTGCTTTCCCTTATCTTAAACTCAAGATTATAGTCTCCCTTATCTTGAAGATAACATATTGTTTTCTCCAAATATTTCAAGCCGCATCTTAGAATATAGTTTCTGTCCATCAAAAGGGGAGATAACTATGATATCTAGGTGCTTGAGATTCGAATATGTTAACCCTTGAAAAAAAATACACGTGAAAGTATAGGTCTACATCAAGAAAGAAATATCTTGGTATGTAAAGGGATGAAAATGGTTGTTTACGCTGACTAGTAGCCATAGTGATAATCCTCCCACCTGATTTCTTAGAGACCTTACCTCGATACTAGCTTCGATCCCCACCCTCATGAAAATTGTCCTTTGATAAGCTCAATTGAAGTGTGATGAAAAACAAAAGAAGTGCTATTTTATGAATGAAATTCGGACGGCTGGGTCTTGAAAGAATTTCAGATGAAATGTCTGCATTTTGAAACAGGTTTTGTTTACGTTTCGTAAAGGGAGACAATGAAAGTGAACAGGGGTTTTGTCACTCTGATGAAAGGTTGAATTCCCAGAGAGTAATTACGCTTCAAACTGTGTACTGGCATCAGCTTTTTAAAGCGACGTTTTATGGGATGGTGTTTTATGTAATGGGGAGTGGTCTCATGTGTTACAAGAAGGCATGGGTGTGGGTGTGTGTGTGTGTGGGGGAGATTGTATAGTTAATAGGGGGAAGAGATGCTAGGTGAAACTAAAATGATTAGATACAAAAAATTAAATTGACGGTGAGATTCACCCATTCGTATATGAAATTCGTTGATTTAAAAAAATATACTCTGAAAAACTTACTTTAATCAATTTTGAGCCCCCCCCCTACATCTAATTCAGATGTAAGAGTAATCCGTGGTTGTGCGGAAGAGCGCACGATTACTAAACCGAATTTCCCCGAGTCCACTCAGCTTTTATAGGTACCTGTCTTGAGTCGGGAAAGGTAACACATAGTGACACACAAACTGTATTTTATCTGCCCTAGGGTCTGAGAGGGTTGTTTACTTTCTTACTTCACATGACATGTTTAACTTGTAAAACTGTCGAACAGTAACGTAGCGAGGGGGGGGGGGGCATATGTCCCCGGGCGCCGACCTTAGGGGGCGCCAAAATGGGTTGGAGAAATAAATTGAAAGGTTGAGGGGGGTGAGTGCAAATCGAAATCTAGAGGGGGGGGAGGTGCAAATCGAAAGTTTGAGGGGGGGGGGGGGGTGCAAAGCGAAAAGTTTGTCCCCGGGCGCCGGGAAAGGTCGCTACGCCTCTGCTGTCGAAATACTTTTTTGTTGATGTTCCTTGCGCTAATTCGTGTTTTAAAGTAACATTAACACAAGCATTGTGGATGAAGTTGTCTATATAAAACACTTTTCTACGATTTTTGTTTGTTTTGGAAGTTAATATCCGTGCCCTGTTAATATTTAGTAAACGATGGAGGGCAGAAATAAATAGCTGTAATGATTGTGTAGCCGTAGGTAACGGTTGGTAAATTTTGTTACAATCTTCCTACCAGGTCAGTCCGTAACGAAGTGGCCCACCAGATTGGTGACCTGCTGCTACAGTGTACGTTCGCAGGGAAGGTCTGCACTGCCAGGTACGTCACAGGCGGTCTTACACGGTGATAGGACAAATAATATCCCAGGACAAAATATACCAGGTCAAAATATCCCAGGACAAAATATCTAATGATAAAATATCCCAGGACAAAATATCCCAGGACAAAATATCTTAGGACAAAATATCCCAGGACGAAATGTTTCAGGACAAAATATATCAGGACAAAATATCCCAGGACAAAATATCTCAGGAGAAAATATCCCATGACAAAATATTTCAGCCCAAAGTATCTCAAAACCAAATATCTCAGCAAAAAGTAATCTAAGACAAAATGTTCCAAGGCTATCCATTTTATGACAAAATATCTAAGACAAAAATGTTCAATGCTTAAATCTCACAACAAAATACCTCAGTCCTATATCCCTTCACAAAAGTATTCAAGTGTTCCAAAATATCAGTAAGAAAATCAAACTAAGCAGAACTATTTAAATCTGTTTTATATTTCGACTTGGAAATATTCTTTAATCGGGATGTTTTTGTCCATGAGTATTTTAGTTGGGATATTTTATTCTCAGATGTGTTATGAATAAACTCGATAGGATATTTCTATCCGTATTGTCATTTAGAATTAACAATCCAATTTAGATTTAAAAAAAAAAAACGTAAGCCATGTATATGATTTGATGTCAAAATATTGAAACAATGTCATCGTGCAAGATTTTAGAAGTAATAAAACATGCAATAACTTGCAAGTAATAAAACATGCAATGACTTGCGAGTAATGAAACATGCAATAACTTGCAAGTAATAAAACATGCAATAACTTGCAGAAATTTCACTACGGCATACTCAATTACCTACGGCACATGTTACACGATCCAGAGCCCCTACTTTATTGCCAGGAAAAGTGGACCGGATGCAGGTAAGAACAACAGTTAACCTTCCTTTTCAATGAAAGCTGTGGTCGCTAAAATGTCAGGAGATTTCATGCAATGCATGCTTTTTACTTTCTCATATATATTTTGAGCGATCTCCGATAATCGGAAGTGGTACTTTTTCTACTTTGAAATTTTCAAAAGCCTTTAAGTTGAGTAGTATTTCAGATAGATAAATGAAATTTCACATGTAAGTAAAAGATCTAATTCTCTACCTTCTGTCAAATTTTGAGTAATTTCCGTTGACCGGAAGGACTAATTTACGCTATTTCCGATTTCTCAAAAACGCACGTACATTTATAAAGTACAAATAATATCCCGCACTATTTGTCCTGAGTTGCCATCCCTCGTAGTTTTATATTAGAATATCCGAGAAAGTTTAGGGAAGATCACTCCCGGTTTATTTATTTACTTTTTAAAAAATCGTTCTTACTGGAATCGACACCAGATACGAATAAAATAATCAAATTTCCTTTAAAACTCGATCGTTAGCTGGTCAATGGTTGTATCATTCTTTAACTTAAATGGTAGCTCTCAAACGTGATATCAACCATCCTTGACCAATATAATATCTTCACAACCAAGCTAATCCAGTAATCGCTTGAGACAAATCCTGTTGTAATCTCCCCTTTTATATTGAATGTAGTTATCCCTATGTTAATTTTTTAATTTTTTTAAAGGCTTATTTAATATCTAATTAGATAAAAAATAATTAAGATATTCTTGCATTGTCACCGTATACGAATGTTTGTGACAAATCTGAACGAAATCGACCCATTTAAAATGGGTCAATATTGAGTGACACGTTTTACCACAAACCAAGAAACAAAGCGACCAAAAAAACCCCCCCAAAAAAAAACAAACAAAAAAACAAACAACAACAACAGAAGACTAAATCGAAGCTAACGAAATGTAATTATATAAATCAATCCCTCCCCAGGCTTGGAGCTGTCCCTCAACATCGAATACGACGAGTACCTGGACGGCATCACAAGCGGGGCGGGTGCTGTCGTTGTTGTCCACGATCAGAAGACGGTGCCCTTCCCTACCAGGGAAGGAATGGCCTTGTCCCCTCAGATGCAGACCTTGATTGGGTTAAGGCAGGTGAGGTTAATGAGGAGAGGAAATTAACAAATGGAAACTCAACTGCGTTTGTTTTAATGGGAGTACACCCTAGGCCGAAAAACTCTCGTATTATACGTGTATATATACATATATATATACATATATATATATATATATATATATATATATATATATATATATATATATATATATATACATACATACATATATATATATATATATATATATATATATATATATATATATATATATATATATATATATATATATATATATATATATATATATCGATGGTCTCGGTCGCAAACCGTCTAACTCAAAAAAATTCGATTTTCTTTTTTTTACATAAATCAAAAGCCAATATGATTCCCCATAATGCCTGAAAATATTAGAGAAATCTGTAGAATGATTATTGAGATATAATCATTTGAACAAACCGCCTATTATTTCTAGCGCTAAAAATCTCGGCGCAAAACGAATATCGCTATATTTGTCAGTACACTTTTGATCCGGAACGCAGTCGCACGCCGTAATCACACAAAGTTTACAGCACAGCAGTCACAGTACTTATAGGTATGGATATTTGATTAATTATGTTCAACTATTTTATTACATTTTATCATTTTAAAGAATAATAAACAAATAGTATTTGTTTAATATAGCCTATTTCCAGATTGTCAATAACCAAACTGATTTGTTTACAATTTTTTCGGCTAACACAATGCTTTGAAACTAGATCTTCATTCTAGAATCTAAATATCAATCAAAACAATATAATTCGAATTATTTTTCCACAAGAATGTGCAATGAATTTAATAATTGTTAATTCACTACTAGCTTTAGATTGAGGGTTTAGATACGTGTTAAGAAATGTTTATATGGTAGGTTACAAAATGTTTGGCGTACATGTTCAACGACATGGTAAGTTGTCTTTAGTAAATGGTTTTATGATTAATTTTTCAACAGACAAGCCTATCTCAACATACCAGATTCTCTCAACAGACCAGCCTGTCTTAACATACCAGCCTCTCTCAACATACCAGCCTCTCTCAGCATACCAGCCGCTA